TTTCAGCTACGGGTTTGGAGTGAATGGAGGCGGGGGCCTCTAATGCAATTTCCGAAATTGCAAGGCCCCGCCTGCAATTATTAGAATTGGGTCAATTTGCAATTTCAAAAAGGATATACACACACACACACACAGTTGAGAGGTTGTGAACATCAGAATGCTCACGACAACAGCAACTTATGTAATCTTACAGTTGGATTTAGAATTGAAGTCGGCAAGTATTTTCCTTCTTTTTCAACCTCACATTCTCCATCAATCTACTATTCCAAAATACATTTTTTCAAAATAATGATACACACACACAGAGTTAAGAGGTTGTGAACATCAAAATGCTCAAGGCAACAGCAACTTGTGTAATCTTACGATAGATTTAGAATCGAAGTCAGCAAGTATTTTATTTTATTTTATTTTGCCCACATATGGAACAGTGATATGTGAGGTAAAATCACAAATAAATAGTAATCTTCAGATCCGCTCTTTTAAGAGATGGTAGATTTTTACTCATTTGTGTTCCTGAAGAAATGTGACATGATATTCACATGCATATTTCAAGGTATTTAGAACAAATTCCGTCAACAAGGGACCAAGATGCTATGAAAATGAAAGGTTGGAGACTTAAGTGCCTGAGATATGGATTTGGGACCCGTTCACTACTAAGGCAATATAGTGGAGATTAATGCAGATAATCCAATGCATTAACGTGATTTATCCTTGATTATGGTTTTCTTTACAACTAAGGAGATGATATTGTCAACCTATAGATTTGTCTTTTTATTTATGTGTAAAAATTTTAAATAAAAATACTTTAAAAATACTTTTAAATGCTACGAATTAAAGTTTCTTGCAAGAGAAAAAATGTATAAATCAGTTAGAAGTGGCAACGTCAAAATAGGTCATATCGTCTATGTTTAAGGGGGCTTAATGAAAAGTGTTCTTTTTAAATTGTCCAATGATATGTTATTTAATGGCACAATGTAAACAACGATATAAAAGATGATATAGACATGCGATTGATTGTAAAACAGCTTACATCCAACTGGCTTGACTCGGAATGTAGATAGCACCGAACCAGGGTATCTAGACACCTGGCCTGATCTACTCAAAGGATAGTCACTGTACAATCAGAACAATGAAAAGTCTTTATGGTACATGAATACTAACTCAAAATAATAAATCAACAGATCAGGATAGTTGAACTGTCTAAATTTTAAAACCAAGGATGTACTAAAATTGCCATCACACGACACTTTTGACAATTTAGGTTTGCAATTTAGGTTTGCAATCCAAATACATTGTAAACCTGTACGTCGTTGTTCTTTAATACAATGTATGAAGTACCCTATCAAAGCGAGTATTCACAGTCTAGCAAGCGGGCGAGAATGTCCTCACAACTTGGTCGTTTTTGTGGCTCTGCCCAACAATCTGCAACAAATGGTAACATGATTATGAGAATATGAAAATTGCACAAGCTCTCAATATTATTGAAATATTAGAAAACGCAACCTGCAATGAGCCTGCCCAGGGGCCATTCAGGTATCTCCAACCGTGACCCTTCATTAGCAACAGTATAAACTACCTGGTAAGAGACAAGGGAATAAGAACCATCGTGATGGTTAGTAATACGTATGTTGAAAAGGAAGTTAACTTGTAGAAAAGATAAAATCAATTACAACGATGGGCTAAAAGGGTGTAGCATACCTGCTCAAGTGGCATGCCATCCCATGGTTTGCTTAAAGTGCAGAGCTCCCACATTATAACCCCAAGGCTGAAAATGTCACATTTCTCAGTAAATGGTTCATTGCGAATAAGCTCTGGAGCCATCCATTCTGGAGTCCCCGCTGATGAGGTGCCCCTTATGGGTGCATCTGTCATGGTTCTTGAAAGCCCAAAGTCGCATATCTTAACTGTCCAGTGCTTGTTGACGAGGCAATTTGCACTTTTAAGATCACGGTGGACTACCTTCATGCGATGTATGCACATAAGCCCCCTCCATTGCCAACAGAAAAATGATGAGTGAGATCACAGTCATGGAAGATTTTCATTTTGCATTCACAAAATATTATCTATGTTCAATTGACAATTGCAAAGGGGAAGGATTTCTTCTCTTAAATTTTTTTATTTTTTATTGATGGGGGGGTGGGCGGGGGGGTGACTATTGTTAAGAGAGACAGAGACTAACATCATTAATTATTCAAAACAAAATTGAGGTCAGACCAAAAGAAGAAGAAGAAAAAGCTTTTCCAACCACACTAATCAACCTCGAAGGTTTGATTTCCAAGTTTCTGGCTTTACAACTGTTGGCAGCCCCATCACATTAACCAAATAATTATTGGGTTGTTTTCCAACACTAATCACACACATAGGACTGTTGGAGGATGCAAACATGCACGTGAGTTTTCTCATGCACACCCGTCACTGTTGAATTTTAAATTGGTAGCTCTTTGTTGCTGTACTTTCATTAGTGATATAGAATTACTTCCCACAGCTTCTATAATTTCACACAGCAAATTATTTTTATCAAGTGATGATCCAGATGAAATGGGGATTGGATCTAAACACATTTGATATGGGTTCTAATAAGAACCCACCTTCGACATGGTTATTGAACCACTCCTAAGAAATAAGGGGGAGAGCGGAAAGGAGTTTTCTTCTCTGTAAATGCACAGTTAAAATGACGGGGAACTGAAGATAGAAACAAAGATATGATTTAGGTAGGATTTTAAAGTAAAGATTGATTACATATCCTTGTTTAGATTGTATTAGATTAGTTTTAATATTTTGATAAAGTTCCAGTTTACTAGAAGTTTCTGAGTTCAACTTAGTTTGCTCTATATATAGGACGTATGATTTCAATGTATTCAGAGCTCTTCATCCTACATCCTTCCTCTCCTCTCTATTTCTCATTCTGTGGTACGTTCTGCAACAATTCGGTATAAGAGCTATCAGTGCTGCATCCTAATATCTATAGGAAATTATGAGAACTGAAAATGCTTGGAGGTTGGCACCACCACCCTTTGACGGTGTTTTGGAGGCAGAGGAACAGAATCTCTTTTTATACTGTGCATAATCTGCTATGGGTAATCAGGAGGTACTGTCCAGTCCACCCTATCTGCTCTAGTACATGGGTACATTGATATAATGCGTCAACACTTAACACAGCATAGCTAAGTTTTGTTTTATAATTGAATTTTGATTTATTCAAAAAATGAAACCTTAAAAATGTAAGGCACCAATTAAATTTCATCAATAAATTGAGAGAGTAACTTGGGGACACGAGGTTCAAGTCAGAAGAAGAGCATCATCTTTACATATTTGAATTTCCAGTATGAATTTATCTCAAAACTTTCCAATATATACACACATAATTTAATGAAAAATGAAGTTACAGTATTTTTAGTTATTCTTCTGTCATTTTTCCATTATATCTTTGAATATTTAGAGAAAACAAGACTTCATTAGTACTGGAGAGGAGTTGCAGAATGTTGCTCTAATAAAAGTAGAAGCAAGTCCCAAACAAACGAAAATCTCCAGGCACACTGCAGATCGCATTTGACAACTCACGGTCACTGAAACAACTTGCCACCACCTCAATATTATGCATGGAGGACCATGGCCTCAGCCAAAACAACAATATAAAGATTAACTTCAATAACGAATTTCATCATCTTTATCTTTTCGCAAGCCCTGATAAACTTCAATATGAGACTCATGCCTTATTCCATGTATAATTATAGTTTTTCCAGTGTTGTCTAATCACACACCTCCATCCACAGGTCATGTACCAGTTTCAAAGGTCTCTGATTGATACAGTACCAATGAAAAATGTCTTTTGCCACCACCCTTTGTTTTATAACTCCATGCTCCTTATCCAACAATACTAGCAGTAGTGCTAATCCTATAATCGAGTAAGGCTCAAAAGTATATTTTATGACTTATTCAATGTAGCTTCCCACCTTGCAAATTAGATTTGACCTTGAGAGAGAATTCATACTTGATAAATTAGGATACACGCTTATCTTGGATAAGGGAGCTTGTTTAACTTTTACTCATCCAGTAATTCAAGGGACTGCCACATATAACAGTTGTCAAGCATTTTGTACATCATTCTCTTAGAACAAAGTATACCCTATGGCAGTAAATACTCATGGTTTATGATATCTATAGCAGCCAATAAAATTGTCTAAGGATGGGTACATAGACAATCAATTTGACATAAAAGAATGTTAGAAATAGCAAGATAGAACTAAATAGACCAATTTCCCTCAATCATGGTTATAAAGACATTTAAGGGGTAATTCTCCATGTCTGGAACATGAGGTTATCTCGGTGGTGCATCCAAAGATGATATCATAAAGAACAAATCATTAAACTTCTATAACCACAAGAAAAATAATGCTGTGCCATCCAATCAGTCAAATACATGTTGAGCGGTCAATACTCGTGACTTTGACTAGGTAATTTGTAAGTTTCACAAATTAGAATTTCAGTTAGGGGAGAAAATGATGGAATATATTTATAATGTGTCACAAAGATTTCAACTAACCTACAAATGTCACGCAGAATTTTAAGTCTCCTCTGCCAGCTGAGTTTCTTCTTCTGACCTCTTAAGTGGATCAAATTATATAATGATCCCATTTCCATGTATTCAGTGACCATTGACAATCGTGGAGGCTTCATGCATGCACCGAGAAACAATATAACTGCAGGAAACAGGTTCGCAAGATTTGATATCACTGCATATTTAAATGTTTCTATGCATTTAATGCATATGTACATATGTTTAGATATAGCCATATAGGGCAGAGTTTCACCAACAAGATAATTGGCTAGTAAGGAAACAAAAAAGTTGTAAGATTCCCCTCCCCCAGGCATATAGATGGCTGAACTAATGTTTCATTCTTTTATGTCAACCATATGCAGCAATCTTCAGACCGGGCAAATATACATCTAGGCTACATACAAAAGTATTAAAGGATCTTGAATTTGCAACTTTCCTATTTTTTTAGTATGTCTGACACTGATATATTCCGGCTCGTTTCTACAAATTTGGATATTTTATGAAATGGTGGAGCCTTCAAGTTAACTTGTTCTTCAAAATTTAAGATAGCCTTGACTTTTTATCAAATTCTTACCTATTCTATATTTTGCTACACTTGAAATCTGAAGAGTCCTATTGACTAGTTTGCTAGCAATAGAAGTCCTCGATGTTATTCTTTGGGTTCTATGTAACTTTGTTGTCTGTGGATTCATGCATATCATCTTTCACTTTTGTAACATAATTTTATTAATTATAGAAACATAGCTACAATTGTTAAGATGATAAAAATTCATCAAACCCTCAAAAAAGTCAAGAATGAAATAAACATTTTGAACTAAGGATAATTAACGAGAAAGGAACACCTTTGAAATCCTTATCCATAGAAATCAATAAGCATGTTAAAAACTTATATCTGTCCCATAACTCACAAGGTTCTCTCTCTTTTACTTCAAATATTCAATTGATCATCATCACCCAAAAAAAGTAGTTGAAACTATCAATTTCCACATGACCACACCCCTTTCGCCTTTATCAAAGCTATATCATATATTCAATCAGGAAACCATTACACATGCTAGGGAATACCCAACTGAATCACCTTCATGGAGTCTACACCAAAGCACTCCCACATGCCACACATCACAATGTAAGATAATTGATTCATACTTAGGGAATCCTTTCTACACATCATACAACATGAAAAGGAGAGGGAGAATTAAGGACATTTCTTTTGAACCATTTCACAAGTATTGATTTTACGCCAGTACTTAGAGCTGCAATTAAAATATATTTTCCAGTTTTCTCTCCAAATGTGATGATATCAAAATAGTGTGCACCACTATTGAATTTGCAAGTAAAACGTCTAACCCTCAAATAATTGAGGTTTAAAAAATTTATAATATTGATTCCAGCTAGTTCAATTAAAAATTGTGACAAGAAAATCGTATTGTTTCTGAGTGTTTCTTTTCTTAAATTTCATTTACTATAATAGTAGACCAAGTTTGACACTATTTAAATGAATCAAAATTTCACCGTGTGTACATATCCTGTTTTTTTATGTGGTTATGCATTTCATGAATTTAAAAGGATCCAAGGCTTTAGTCCTATAGAGTTCATCCACGATAAAAAGTTTCCTTAATCATGATGCAAGTATTGTGTTGATCCTAAATTGAAAAATATATCTCACTACTATTTGTTTTAAACGTATTACAAATGTAAATGAATGTCAAGATTGTAGTCTTTGGATATTTTATTTTTTCATGTATCATTTGAGTTTTTGTCTAACAATACTTTTGAGTTCATTTCTAGTCACAAATGCACATAAAATCTAGTTACGGATAAAGAAAGAACAACTTGAATAAGAGCAGGAGAAAGGTCATACCATTTGGGTGCCGAAGGCGACTAGAGGAAAAGTTGAATCACAAAAATTAGAAAGTTAGAGTGGAATACCAAAAATAAATACAAACCGTCATGTACCAAAAAGGATGATACCTGAGGATGGATATTTCATTGCAAAAATCCTCCATGTTTTCAGCAGTGAGATCTTGCTCCAAGAAAACTTTAATAGCAACTTCTGTTCCGTTCCAGACTCCACGAAAAACTTCACCGAAGAACCCTGGAGATATCACTCCATAGAGTAGACAACAAGAGATGAAAATGGGTAAAAAGCAACTGTGAGTCTACAGACAACTAAACATCAATTAGCCACATTTTTTATCAGTACATTAAGTATAAGATTATTTGACTCTGCAACCCGTTATTTATTCCCGAGATTAATATCAACTCTAAGGAAAACTTAGTCTTCACTCTTCAAGTGGAGAAATTATCAAACATCGGAAAAACATAAAAGTGCAGTAATACACTAGCTTCCACAAATACATTTTTCAACCGGCAGATTAATGCCTTTTTTTTCTTTCCTTGTACCTCTCCATTTTCCCTTTTTTGGGCAGGAAGAAAATTACACTTTGCTAAATAAAAATCTCTTCAATAAATAGTTATTTGTGAGTTCTAGCATTTATACACTGATTCTATTGGAAATGGGAAGGTTACGAACACTGACTGCATCTTGATATATGCTTCAAATATCAAAGCTTCAGCGAGCCATGATAGCAATCAAGCAAACAGATTTCAAAGGAAAGTCTCTGCAGATATCATATAGGGAAAAATTTCCTACCAATCCCAACACGAGTGCCCACCGTCAATTCCGAGAAAGTAATATTCCATTCCTCAAAAGGTAGCAGAGGCCTGTTCTGGAACATAGGTAGTTCCAGAATTCTGTTCCATGTTGAGACCACTTCTTCATTTACCTTGTGCGTCCTACTTCTTTCTGGAACCTGACTCCTAAATTCATGAGGATCTGCACTTTGTTGGTCATTTGAACCAAAGCAATACAAACTAGTGTCCCCTTGTTCTCTTACAAGGCGATTTTGCTTCAATGTTTCATTCATTGCCCGAACAGCCCTAATGTAGTTCACAATAATCTTAAGAATCGATAGGGAGAAAACAACAAGCTGCAAAGTTGTACATGGACGGGCTTAAACTTCTTGAGATCTATAAATAAATAGGGGGATAATGAGCCAAGCTTCTCAAAACGTTCAATTGTTTATAAAGCCAATTTGTTTATCTAGTAGCCAAGCTCAAACCATCCTCATGCTTTTTACGAGCTTAGAAATGAGCTGGAGATTGGTTCACTTTATCTGAAGCTAAGCTAAAGCAGCTCGAGTCATTAAACAACTCTAGAAACAAATAGCTGCTGAACAGAAAATTAATGGCATGTCGAATGGCTAATCACATTTTATCCAAAATAGGGCTTTATCATGATAAGAAAAGCAAAAGCTCTTTCGTGGTTGGGAAGGTGGGGTGGAGCCAACATAACAACTAACGAATTCCTAAAAGATCTCAGCTGTGGACAAAATCTGTTAGACTAAGAAACAAACTCAATTGACATGAGTACTAAACAAACATGTGAAAAAGAGGAAGTTCTTTATTTTAAGTCGGTTTCAATCTTCAACTTCCAATTACTTCTCATTGTAGACAAGGCAGGCTTCTCATGTTTCTCCATTACATGATTTACAAAAAATATTAACAGAATTATACATCTTCATTGCGTGAGACAAATTCTATCATAGCTTCATTCTGCACAAATTTGTCTAGGTGTAAGTTTTTGGATCCAAGATAATTTTTTAACAGATTAAACTTAAAAACCGTATCTCAAGTGTTGCTAAAGAAAATGGCTAAAAAACAGTAATTGATAAATTTTCCACTGTTAAACATAGAATTAATTCAGAAACAGTCTGTCCTGCAATGAGATTGACATGTATTTGCGTTGGTACATGTAGTTCAGACAATAATCTTATGTTAATAATCAATACCTGCATCGAAGAGATACCAAAAGGGAGCTAAAACTATATTATCTTCATGTGCCAACAACGAATATCAGTTAAAAATGCTAGACAATTTCAAGAAATAATAGAGTGTTCCAGCTCAGGTAAAAATTTCAGGGTAGAAAATTTAACCAGAAGCAAATTGAAGCATCAGGGGATTACATGTATGCACTACTTGACATCCTCGTCCAATTAACTACTAAGAACAAGAACTTGTACCGAAAGTATTGGTCAGGTGTTGTGTTCATGAATTGCAGAAATCAATGTCAGCAAAGAAGGAAATGCATTAGGATTTATCTATAATATATTAAATATCACATCAAGTGAGAATCATTTTTTGGACAATTTTAAACCTACTAAAATTTAATTATTTCAATAATATCTTACTTTTCGTTTTTCAATATGTAATAAATACTGCAAAATGTATGAATTTCGTATTATTAATTCTCGATTAATTAACATTCACATTAATCTAGATTCAATGAATCTTGACTTAATGAATCATGATCTACATGAACCTAGAGTTATTATAGATGAATTTATTTCTATTCATGTATTTAGGAATTTTAATGAATGTTTAAATTCATGTATTAGAAATTATTTTTTATGTACAAAATGTAGTATAAAAATATTTTTCATTTGTAGTATTTTATCATCACAAAAAAAATGAATAATAAAAGATGAATTTTCATAGTACAATTTTTTTCTCTTAAATTTCTATTCTAAATTTTATTTTCTTTTGTTTGTTTGAGACTTATCAAATCCTCTCGACAAATTGGTATCAAATATTACTTTTACAGCACTTATACAGTATTTCAAAATAACATGCAATACAAGTTTAACTTTGACTAGTTAATGACAAAAGTCTAGTAATTTTGTGAGGATAGCATGCTCAAAAGGAATTTCGTAGTTTGTAATATGGAAAACAATTCTATGGACTTCACCTGCTATTTTTTACCTCAAGCCTTGTAAAAAGCAATTGCCCTCAAACTCACAATAATATTTTTCTGAAGTGTTATCCCACGTTAATAAAACTTGAATGGAAGGAGGAGAAGATGAAGTATATTTCCCCATAATTCTATATAAAGCATTTCAAGAGTGAAGCAGGAGCAATTTGAAGAAACAAGCTCTCAACCAATTTTTGAAGGAAAAACACAGAGACCTAAATATGAATGTTTAGTCTTATGTTCTCCGTGAAATCTAAACCAGCATTTAGAATACCGGCCAAACAGAACTGATGCCTATATCATAATGAGGACAAAATTCTTGCTAACCTTCTTCCTTTTTACAGGAAAACAGAATGTGAATCTCGCTCTACAACTCTTTTCTTTAAACAGAAAGAACTCTAGTGAATGGCTATGAACAACAATAACATCAATAGTAGTTGCTAGTTAAATGGTAATAAATAAATTTCAACCTTACGATGTCATCACTAATCTCTGGAGTTATGCTTATGCTCCTTCTTCTTATTCTAGGAGTTTCAGAAGTTGATGCACCTTCTGACCTGTAACAATATCCATAGCAAAACTCAAAAAAAAGGACAAAGCAGCTCTAAAACACATATTAAGGGATAAATGTGGAGATAAGAGAGTTCTTTTTCATAAAAAGAAAGATTGATTAACAAGAGGAAAGGAATTTCTGAAATTTCATGCAGGTATGATGTAGAATATATTCGATCAATATTAAGACTCAATTACATCCTGTCATTCAAGTCAAGTTAAAGACGGTGCCTGAAATGTGCTCAAGTTTCCTACAGATTATTCATCTCCCCCAAAGAAAACAAGGAAATGGATCCCAAAAATTAGGAGCATGCAATCCAATTTCCCAGTCTCATGAGGCATAATCTATATGATCGAACTACCTTAATAATGCTATGCGCAGATAGCATTAAAATGAAAAAAAGGATCATAACCTCAAATGTGATGTTGAAGTAGCAAATAAGAAAATATCCTGGATGCCATTGGCAAAGAACATTCGCTATAGAATGATATATTCGATATAATTTCAAAAGATCAACTGGTGAGGAAGCGTTTGTGAAATTCTTGTAATAAAAATTATGTAGCAATTAAGAACGATATTGGAATAAACTTAGCTTGTATATATTGAATAATAATTTATTGTTGTTGAAAAATGTATAACGCCTCCACAATTATAGGCAAAATTATTCCCTACTTCTACTACTACTACTAGGAAACTAATATAAGGAAACTAAACTAAAATTCTAATCTAAAAGAAATTAGAAATCATATTCTAATCAATAAAGAAACTACAAATTATATTCTAATTAAAATAAGAATAAAAAGATAAAATATATTACAATTAAATATCTTATTCGATATATATATAACTTTTATCCTATTTACAATAGGATTGTCTTACATCAATCTCTCCCACTTGAAAAAAACTCGTCATTGAGTTTTGTTAAAGAAAAGAATCATTGATCACTTGTATGTATTCAAATTTAGCTGGGAGTCGAGAAAACTCTCTAGCTACCTATTGCCGTGTTTTAAGCTCATTGAAACAACAAACATTCATAACAATTAAAGTCTGCAAATTCTTGTAAACTTGCTTCTCTATGGGCTAGCGATTTCTTCCAAGACTCAGCGCGGTCAGCATTTGCTTGATATTGTGAAGGGTTTCATCGATCCATCGATTTGTGGTTCGAGTTTGTCGAGCCTTCATTCATCATCAACAGTTCGACTACCACCAAGACCTTCGTCGGTAATCGAATTAAGGTAATTTTCTTGCTCCGATACCAATTTGGTGCGGAAGCGTATGTGAAATTCTTGTAATAATAATTATGTAGTAATTAACATTGATATTGGAATAAACTTGTCTTATATATATATTGAATAATAATTGACTGTTGTTAAAAAAAATGATAATGTCTTTACATTTATTGACAAAATTATTCCCTACTTCTACTCCTACTAGGAAACTAAAATAAGGAAACTAAACTGAAATAAAATCATAATCTAAAAGAAATTAGAAATCTTATTCTAATCAATAAAGAAACTATAAATCCTATTCTAAATAAAATTCATAAACATCTAACTTTTATCCTATTTACAATAGGATTATCCTGCATTATCAACTTAACAACATTTGACCATTGTACTGCTTTCAGATTACAATGCATTGAATGCAGACTGAAAAATAAATAGAAATCAATTTTCGAACTCAACCCAGAGGAACTTGTCAAATATCAATTTTGATGTATTAAACTGATGCAAGAAAAAGGAAAAAAGGTAGGCACCTTGAAGTAGCAATGTCATCAGAATAATCTCTAAAAGATTTATTGTCCCCACTAAGCATAGATCGACCACGTGCTCGAAAGGACAAATGCTCAGGACTGCAAAACCCAAAACATTTTAAAACGTAACAATGATTTCTGGCAAAAAGAAACCTTTCTCAACTTCTCAACTTAATATTTTAGACATTGAGTATTTTCATGACATAAATAGGAAAGCACAACATTTGAAGGCAGGTTGAAATTCTTAAAATGTTTCAATGTTTCTTTGTGTTCAGTTATAGAATGCTGAATTTTCAAGATTCCTTTCAACTGTTTCTAACAACGTAATTACATTGTTCTTATATATTTGTCCATGCAACACTAGCTATAAAAATAATTTTGTTGACTTTCCATTTTGATATAGGGTAGCATGATTTATAATTATCAACTAAACTTCTAAGATCTTCCAATGACAATGTTCTACCAAATTATGCGAGGTTTTTATGATTCAAAATTATAAAATATCTAAGATTTAACATGCAGGTTTCCAAAACTGAATATCGGTGCAGTTAACATAAGCTTCTATTATACAAAATGAAATCCTGGTTATCAAGAAAAACCTCGAACTTGAAGTCCTTTGTTCAGCAATAACCTTTCTTTGGCTCCTTTGCCAAAATGCAGCCGCAATATTAGGTTCACTGTGTGACAAGCTGACATGATGACATACGATAAACAAATCAAACCAAACTACGTCCCTTAAATCTTCGAAGAAAAGTTGTAAGTGGAAATTAAAATAACCGTGTAATAAAGAAAAAATTGTCACAAAGAGCATGAATAGTACCTCAATTTCCTGTCAACGGAATTTGACAACATCATATTCCTTAAAGAAGGCCCTGCTGCATTTGAAGATGCTTCTAGTCTATGATGATACTGAAGGCCATCTTCTTTCTCAGCACTGCATAAATTAACATGGAGCATCAACCCAACTGCATCATTCTTCCATCTTCCAAGATTTCTCATCACTCCAGAAAATTAATTGTCAAAATTTACACTGCTAGGATTAATGTTAAAAGAAGACCTCTGACAGCTGTCAGAATCTCCAACTAAAAAAGGATATTTTCTGCTGACCTCTCAGGATCAACTCCCTCGGAAACACCATAAAGGGGACTATTTGGCTCCATTGGGGAATCACAAGAATCATTTTCTGCAGAATCACTCTCCCCAGCAGCAGATATGTGAGTCATAAAGATAGCCTTGGTTGATCGGGGTATCAGCTGGCCAGGAAACCGCATAAGATCGACCAGAAGTTCCAGAGAATTCAACACGACCAAAACTGACATATGCTTATATGAGTCATCACATTCAGAAGCTCCTTCAGTAGGCAAACCCTAATGAAAGACGCATGTCAATAGAAGATGAGATTGAATAAAAGAAGAAAAGAAAAGCAAAAGAGAATGAATGTCTTTAAAAAAATAAAATATTACTCCACAATTAAAGCAAGAAAATCTATTCGAAAGAATACAAAAATGAAAAAATAGAAAATAACACCTTGGAATGGATAAAGTAAAGCTTACCACCATCAGCCTACATTCAAGACCTACAGTGTCTGCAAGGACTTTAAATAATATTGCTCGAGGTCTGCAAGAACCGTGCTTTATTTGCCCCAGCATCTGCATACCTTGATTTCCAGATACGTGATCATTGAGTGCAGCTTTCTTTGGACTAAGTTCCAAATTGGGTCTTCTGTAAAATTCTGACACCTATTCAGTATGTCTGAAGTCAGAAATGATTCCCCCACCAACACTGGTTATAAGGAATACAGAGAAATCAAACAATGACTAATACGATGTAGAGTACAGGAATATCAAATGGAACACTAACATAATAAAGAACAGTCCATTAAAGTACCATCCACAAACATTTTCTGTCAACCCCATCAAGGCCTCTCAGGCCAATACTACCTGAGAGCAGAATGTGTGTGGTGTGCAACAAGAGAGCAAGATCCAATTTTTATTTATTTATTATTTTTTAAAAAACATAAGCTATAATGCATATGCCATTACCAGACTACAAAAGATGAGTTTACCTCTTTGAACTATCATAATCACGGAAAGTTGCTTCCAAAATAGATATCCAGTGGATTCCACTCAAAATACGGAGAAAAAGTGATCACATAATCTCAGAATTGCCTAGTGTTAAATACGATTCCATAGGGACGAGAAAAAACCAAAAAATATATAAGAAAGATGAAAAGTAAATTCAAATGTTTCAAACAACAGGGTTAAATAATCTCTTGAAATATTCTCTACCAAGCTTCTGAAAGAAATATAGGCGACCGTGACTGAGATATAGGACTTAGTTGCCCATCAAACTGGGCGATGAACTCACTCGGTAGTAACCCTAGAAGACAAATATAGTAGAGTTATACCTTAATTCAAACATACTAAAAACATCAATAGAAGGGGAAAATAGCTGTAAATTTTAAGATCGAACCAAAAATGAAATATACAGCTAAAATGTAGAAGAGCCAATAAATATTCACCAATCCAGCGATCTTCTTTATCACTGCTGCAGGATTTGAATTCAAACCCTTCACCAGAGTTACAATTAGCTGCTTTAACATAGACAGCTTCTTATCTTTCTCTGCATCTACAAGAATTACATCAGCTGTCAAACCATTAAACTCCAAAGCATGAAGCTCCTCCAGAGTGGGTATATCTTCAAAAAGTTCCTTGAGCTTTTTATCCTAAAGATAATGACATCACTAAGAAACTGCCTCTTAAATGTTAAAACAAATTAAAGCTAATGGAATCCGTATGAGCGACAAAAAAACCACAAGTATAAACCAAAAGTGGTAGGCAAGTGAAGCATCAGAACCTCTGGCATGCATTATTGTTGAAGCAACTAGATTTATGACAGGATTTACACCGGGCTCAATAAATAATTGAATGTAGTAGAAAGCGGATCTTAAACTAAAAAGGTGTTAATGACCCCGGGGAGGTCTGGCTATTTCCAGCGTCAAAATATGAAGTATTCAGACATTTCCTGTTTAATTACTGTAAATGACGTGTTAATATAGAAAATTATAAATAGTCTTGCATTAAAGTATGAAAATTGCAATCCATGTTGCATTTAATCTTGCAAAGAAAGATATCAGCTCTTGTAGCCCTTACAATTTGATAGATCTTTTAATTATCGGATGGTTGTTCAATTTGTCACATAAATTCCTGCTGTACCACTTATATGACTGCTAAACAAAGGTTCTAAAGTGAAACAATGAGAACTAAACATTTGTTCAGCGTAGAATTTTCTTATAAATTTCAGTGCTCTAAAATGATCCTACAACAAATTTTGATTGAATGAGGTTCATTTGAAAGACAAACTCTTTTAATCTCATGCCAAATCATGATAGTCCTTAAAACCACGGATACACAGATAAAATTGTGTGATCTTAATAGCAAATTCCCACTCCAAACATATGTCTCAAGTCATGTAACATTCATCGTTTCCTATGGTACATCAGGCAAAATATATGGAACCATAGGTCCCACGTCTCATCCACTAGCATGAAGTACATCATTTTCATGCTTTCAAAATACTCTCCTCCGATGAAAACATATATCTCGATTTGCAAAAAATGGAAAATCAGATTATGTTGTTGAAATGAAGAAACGCCATTCAGTTCCTGGTGATGGCAGAGTGTGCAAATTCTCTCAAGAGCTTGAAGATTTTATTTCAAGATCTTTGAACATATTAGATGTTTCAATGCAAATTTCTCACTTTTAGCCAACACAAAGATGGGACTTTACCACCTTGGATTATTAGTCAATATTTTTCTTTACTGATCATAACAAAAACTCGCATAAGAGTGCAAATTAACCAAATTAAAGTCTTCCAATAATTTCTACTTTCTTCATAGATGACAAGAACTGCAAAATCTGGAATGGTACAGACATACAGTTAACACTCAATAACGGTGAACTACATGTCCAGATTAAATGGTTTGTGCTTTCAGAAAATTAGAAGGCTTAAATTCCTAAGCAATAGCAATAATATATTAGTTAATTTAACACAACCAATTTAAGTGCTCACAGGAACAATAGAGTAGAAACCATTTGGGATTGGTTCAGAAAGCATTCCGGTCGTCCAGAGGATCCTAGATGCTGCTTGATATGACCATGTACTGTATTCATTGTCATCAGTAGTTTCTCTATTCCTCAGAACTCCTTTAGAATCCAAGGAAGCAGATCCAATTTTTTCAACAAAATCTGAAGTCTGCCATGTAGAAGTAGAAGGCCTTGATTCATCTCGTGTGTCCTCCATATCCATAAATGTTTGAATCCAATACCATCTAATGCCCAGTTCTCACCCCCATAAAAGTGCTCATAAATTGTACAGTTTTTCACCACCGCATTAATTTGTAAACTTCTTTTCTTCGCTCCCCAAAGCTAAAGACCACAGACCTGAAAGATGGACATACACTTCAAAACTCAGAGTCTAGTGTTTCTTCTATTAAAATCAACAATATGTCATTTAAGCTCCAAAATGATCATTTCAACAAATGGCTGCAAATAATTTTTTCAGGGAACTTTTTTTAAAACTTAGAAGAATCTGGAGCAAGATGATGTTTTTTAATAAAATAAAAATTCTGTAGTAACAGTAAACAGTCCACATGAGTACGAGACTTACAGAAAATAAAAAGAACCATAATTGGCTCAATTTGATTATCGAGTTCAAAATGAAGTTCTGCAGTTTACTTTCCCTTGTTCTTTTTAATCAGACATGACGAGCCTTTAGACTGTTGACCGTTTAGTCATTAACAATATCAAAATTCACAAGGAAACCAATTTTTGCATAAAGATGTATCCCACTATTTCCATCAATTGACAGCTATCAAAATGCATGAAGTGTATTCAAAAATTTAGAATATTTCAGAAATACAAGTCAATCATGGTGCACAAATTTCCAGCAAACTCCAAGTGACTTTCTGAACCCTTAGCATCAGAAAAAATCAAAGAAATTCCTGCTCATCTTAAACAGCTCTAGTGTTCAAATATCTTCAAGTATGGCTTAACTGATTGTCATAAAAACAATCACACGCAAACAACAGTCTGTGCTGAATTAATAAAAGTCATTGAAAAGAACCTTGTGAATATCATAATATAGCCCAAGAAAAGCCCAAATTAATATTTAAGTAAGTATGATTCTTATATCAAACTTTCAGCTTGTTGAAAGTCTACCAACAAAAGGAAAAATCTAAGCTATTCTGCTCATAAAAACAATAAAAAGAATTATGATGTATATTATTTTGATTGATTTTTTTCAAAATCCAAAGATTAAACGTTGCATAGTTGTGTGGAAAGTAGTAAAACATAAAGCAAGAACTGATGTAAAACTGTAAGATGACATAAATTGGCTCCAAAAATACATAACTGGAAAAATAAGAGATACAACAAAAAGATTACTTTATAACCCTGTATGAAAAGGTTTTCTCTCAAAGCCCATTACAAACTCCCTCCTCTTAACTTCCCCAGCATGCTTCAGAACAAGGAAAAGGCACCAATGACTTTGATTTCAGGATAAAAGGAATTGTCAAAAGATAAAATCTTTGAAGAGTCTGAAACTTCTAGGTCTCTTTTTTCTTTTCTCTCTTTCAAGTCAGGTTTAATCCATTTACTCACAAGAAGGGAGATCCATTTTAAAGGGAAAAAAGTACGCATCATTATTCCTATATCCTGCCATTTAATGTGAATCGTTTACCTAAGAAGCTGGGATGAGCTGTGTACTCCAAACATTATTGAAAGAAAAATATAATAAATCAAGCTTCCAATCATCACTAATGATTTGATAGCCCTCAAATGCTTTACAATTGCATTATATCCAGTTCACATTTCAGTTAGTGATACTCAGCAGGCCTCATGGTCTCTGGATGTCCAACTTTTATCTAGCAACCAGAAAGATTTTTGGTGGATAGTGCATAGATCAAACATTTCGGGAACAGATAACATGAAGGCCCTATTTGAGAGTTGTCGAAACCTGGTTTAGTATGATTCAGTCCTGAAATCACTACTCTAATTCATGAAAAATTATGATGTGTTGACCAGGGTTACCATGGCAATCTGAATAAATATTAATACCACTAGATAAAAATCTGCAACATGGTTAGATAAGTATAGATTGTTGTCTCATCAACACCCCCAATAGTTGAAACACCAAGCATCCATTTTTCGTATTTTACTTGTTTATTTATTTACTGTATAAAAGCTATTGGCTTTAATGCCTTCAATCTCCCAGAGTAATATGTGGAGCCAGGTATTATAGAAAATTCTGGATGCATTATCACTGTTAACCTTTTCATCCAAACAATGGCCAGGCTTGACGGGCTGTACTATATTCACTAAAACTGGCTTTCAACCCGAGCAACAATACATAAACGACAGAATCATAAGATCCATCCTTTATTAGGATATAGAGATAGTCTCTTGAGAAATAAAACACCCGTCTTAACAAAGACTCAGTGTATAACACATAAAATCTCACTGTCAGCAACTTTTAAGCTTAGCCAAACATGCAATAATTTGCATTACAACATTTCTAGACACAGTATCCTACACTGAAATATCAATTCCTCCCCTAACAATCAAATTTCCTCATAGCCATCGAATTAAACAAATGAATTATTGGACCCAAAAAGATAGTCACGTCTAAAATTAAATAACCAGACAATGAACTTCATAAATTTAAGATTTCAAACTGAATAACTCCAAGTCAGTTTCCAGATCTTGAACTACACCTACCACCACCACCATAAAATCAACAATTTAATCACTACTTTATTCATTTTCCTCACAAATTCAATGTTTCAATCACTTAAATTCAATCTAAATTAGCAAAAGCTCATCGATAATAAATCCAAAGAATGTAATATGTCAATCCAACAAAATGGTAGAAATAGAGGAGTGTGTTTACCACCGACAGATATTAGCAGAAGAATTTGAAGTCACGTCTGGTCCTCGGAGGTACAATAAATTATTTATGATGTCCGTTGTGTATTATCTGGTTTGGGTCAAATCACGGGACAATGTCCTATGCATACAGTACAATAAATTGTGCGTGAGATTCGTCGGTTCAGTTTTTTTCATATTTTGCCGGTATTTATCACCACATGTAACAACATTAATATAAGTTAAATTATATGTTCAATTAAATAAATCACATAATTTAGGCGGGAGCTCAACACTATCGATACTAGATAACATTATTCTTTACTAATGAGAAAATTGCATCTATGCTTTTACTACTTTGTCTTGCTTATTTCTTAACAAATATTATTTTCGATCTTCAATTTTTTAGCGATCGGGTTCTATAAGAAATAAATAGATTTAAATTGATATCAAACAGGGGCTTACACTCGTGCTTATTTCTTGACAAATATTATTTTCGATCTTCAATTTTTTAGCAGTCCGATCCTATCAATAATAACTTTCAAACATTCATTTGACTACAAATTTATAACTGATTAATAAATTCAATCAAAATTAAATATTAATTTTAGTCTCATTTTAAACTGAGGCTAAGCCCCATTTGGCCCACATTAAAATCCATTATTTGCCAATTTTTTCAACCACGTGCGGCTCCCATGTGTCCATTCCAACCGACATTGCAGGTGACGTGTGCAATTGATGGTCAATAATAATCACCGGAAATTTTTATACCAGAGGACTAAAAGACCATAATACCCCTACAAACATTAGGTGCCAAAACGGAGGCTATACATTGGGGATAATTTTGTAGTTTGTTAGGGAAAGTGGAGGGTGATAATGTCCTTACAATATCCAACGATCCCTTGGATATTGATATCATCTGCAAAGTGATTAGATATAATGCATACGTGGGTCTCACTGTTGTCAAAAAGTTTGGATTGAAAATTAGTTAAAAATTAAATTAAAGAGAGATAAAGGGAGCGAAACGGATTCTAAATAAGAAGGGTAATCCTCAACAGGTCGGCACTTCTTAAACTTTAGATAAATCAAAATGTGTATGAAAATGAAAAGAACCTCAAAATAAGTGCAAAAAATTATTAAAACTAAGAATCTTGGTTTACCGCTTCGAACAAATGCTCCATTAAAGAAGGTTTGAATACGATTACCTTTACTTAGACACGTGAGGAGCTTATAATCATTTGACAATTTTTTTGACGAGAAACGTGATTAAGGAAAAAGAGTACTTAAAAATAAAAATATTGGAGACGACATTATAAAAGAAATAAAAAGTTGAGGACGTCATCACAAAATGAGGTAATGGTCAAGGACCACATCTACAATTTCACTTTAGCAAAAGAATTAAACTTCTTTGTCAAAAAAATAAAATTTACGCCATTGTTGACCTATACTCACATGGAAATGAGATCCATATGAGACTTGTGTGAATAAAAAAAGCCAAAAGAGTATCCACCCACCCAATGTCGTGAGATGTATGGCTGCATAGCAGAACTGTTAGCAAAATGATAGGCTTAGAGACTGTTTGACACTCTTTAATTTATTTTATGATTTGTTATATAACCATTTTTAAACACATATTCAAATAATAAAATATTTTATATGTATGCCAAAAAATTTCCCTACTTTTTAACTCGGATTCTCCAAAAAATCACTATTTAAAACTCTTTTTTTCTACCAAAATTATTGTCAAACATACTCTTACTAATCTCACATGCCGACATATTAGAGAAGAGATGAGATGCTACTTGCTCATAAAAAACCAATTAGACAAGCTTAGTGTAATTGTATGCTCTACTTAAACAATTACTGATTTTAATTAATATTAAGTTTGGGCCTCCATTAAAATTATAATTCATTTTTTTCTTCTTCTTATCAATCACATATTCTCTAATAAAATAATATTACACGTAAGCATAAAACTTTTTCTTATTTGTTAACAATACATTCTTCAAAAAAATATTATTCCAAAAATTAAAATTACAAATAACAGGGCTAAATCGCTCAAGAGCCAATCTTGACTATGCTCATGGAGACTCTCGACTCTTGATCCACTCTAAGAGGGCTATAGACTTGTGGCTTGGTAACCAAGGCCTCGATCAAAGTTTCAAATTGTGTTCACCTAAATGCGTTTCTTCAAGGTATCCTCAAGCTCTAGCTTAAATCATAGTCGATGTCCATCTACTAATGATCTAGAACTTGAGCACTTGTTTGATACCTATTATTTCAAAGATACAATTTTTCTTTCTTATTTACAACCACACATTCTTCATTAAAATAATATTACACGTAAACGCAAAGTTTTTCTTTATTTTTTTACCACACATTTTCCTTCAAATCACTATTCCAAAATGCATTTTTGAAAAAAAAATGCTACGCTTATATATAACTCATTAATTATTACAACTTTGCTACGTAAAAGAGTTTTAATTCAAAAATAAATAAATAAATAAAACGTCTGACGTGATTTGGTCTAGCCACTAATTGATATCCTAGATTACCCAAGTCCATATCACATCCTTCAAGCTTGACCATAAAATCTGATAAAAAATGCTAAACGGACAGGATCGATGACCAACCAGAAAACAAGGCGCCACCTTGGCCCTTGATTTTTACTGTTGAAAATTGGATTAAGGGCTGAGATGAAGCCACCTCGGCCTCCTGTTTTTGGGTCGGTCACCAACCATGTCACTGTAGCGTATCTCAAGTTTGATTGTTGAATTGCAATCGACTGACACTACTTGAACTCTGATGAAAAATTTTGATGCGATGTTTTGTACATTATTTCAATGTAGCAAATTCTGGAAATAGACTTAAGACGCCTAGCCAGAGTCAACATAACACTTTTAATTCTTCAAATTACTATTACAATTTTGTAAAACGGATTGCAAATAAAATAGCTTATAAATCCGAAGCACTTTAGTCATAAAAACTAAAGTCTGAATTTAATTGATAGATATACACAAAAATTTAACATTAAAGGTTGATTTAGTTAACATGTTATATTATGAAAAGATATAATCAACGAAGATAACAATGGAATACAATAATATTCAAAAGAAAATGCACGAATAATTAAATTGAGTAGTGGGTATTTCATACTCATATATTCAAATTCGCTACGATTGTCTTATGATTTCAAGGATTTGATGGATGTAATGGAAAACATATTACTTGTTCCTTCTAAAGATATACAACAAATAAATTGCAATAAGTTAAGATAAAAAGAACTCCTACTTGAAAATATCCTAATTTCACTAACACTATTCTTATGAAAATATAGTTAGCATATTTTTTATAATATTTTAGTGATAGGAGCGAGTTGAGATCTATTGTCCAAACTTGATTGTCCGACTTGTCGTCCACCAAATGATTCATTGACACATCACTTTAAATTAACATATTTAACTTTTATCCCACTACCACTTGGGCTTAAAAATAAGTGTAAAATGATGTGTTAATGAATCATTGTTGGAAGGAAAGTTGGACAGCAGATGCCAACTCGATAGGAGTATATTTTGAGGCCTCTTACATCAATAATGCTATATACCAAGGTTTAATTTTAAAATTTCACTTGGGTCATCCAACTTTTACTTGTCACGATCACCTGTGATTGAAAATAATTTGTGTATAAAAACAAACGATAATTCTTTTGAATGAGCATTCTCAAAACTCTGTTCATACCCAATTTCTAGATTTTGCAACAATGATAAGATTGTGAGGTATAATTATCTAAAATTTTTAAACCAACGGAAGATTGGGATATTAAGTCTCTAATTGATGGGGATTAAAATCAGATTTTTTTAAAAAAAAAAATTTGATAAAAATTGACGAAATGTATGCTTGAAATGTTGTAGATCCCATAAAATATGTGATTAAAATTAAAATTAATTGTTGATTTTGATTTAGAATAAAATCTGGATTTTAATTTCTACCAAATAGAAGCTAGGCTTGATTACGGAGCTAACGTAGTGAAAGCAACTGAAATTTGAAAGTAAATTGCAGCTTAGTAGTCTGACAACAAACTAAAGTTGGGTACCTAACTGAAATTTCACAAAAAGATCAGTGACCAAAAATGAAATTAACCCCCTATTTTCTGTTTTAACCATGTTTTTTTAATCAAAAATTCAATGAAATATTTGCCACGTGGCATTCTGTAAACCCATTTTCTCTGTACATGTAGATTTGTTCTATCTCTATAATTAATGGGTAGAAGCTTTATGGATTCATCCTATAAATAGTTTGACTTCGATTAACACTTCCCCTCATGAAACCCTCAAAAGAGTTGAGTATGAGTCTGATTCAATGAGAAATCCAACTACAGTACTCTGGAGTTTACTACAAAGACGGATAACCTTCAAGATGAACAAGCAAAACGGAAATGCAAAGCATGAATACGAACCATCGTACTTCGGTGTATTAACACAATATAGCAGACCCATATATTCAAACGCAAAATCAAGTGACGTAAACAAATCAATTCATATTACAACAGCGCGTTGCCTAATCTCATAGCACCAAAGCCATTACACTGCTACAAAACATTCCCCACCTGTTGTGGGTCAATTCAGATCCGTGAACTCTTGCTGTCGGGAGGAGAAATTACATAGGTGTTTATGGTACAAGGTCTGAAAACTACCCCGTTCAGTTCTCTCTCCCTTTGTGCATGCAAGCACAATTTTCTGTTTGTAAATGAACTTGTAGATGCATTTGGGCGATAATCCAAACTCGGAAGATGATGCACACACACAATGATGTCACGTTTTATTGCAATATGCAAACTGAGAAAACTGAACAGACAGCTGCCTCATCATCACCAATAAGGCCCTTTGCTCACTCAACTTGGGAAGCAATTTAAGCTCGGATATCGTGCTTGCAAACTGGGCAAGATGTGGCCCATTTGGTCAACCATGAGTTCACACATCCAGCATGGAAATCTAAAAAGCAAACCTAAAATCAGATTAAAAATCCACCACAATGAGACAAAAACAATAAGGAGTCGAGCCTAAAGTCAATGCTGATCTTTATATATATATAAAAGCTACACTAGCAATTTACCCCCGACAGCTTTGTGATACTAGTGTTTGCTGAAGAGATTTTATCCACGTGTTCTTCCAAAGTAGGACAATGCAAGCAGTGTAGAAACAACTTAGTTTCCCTATTTTTCCAGTTTATTAGAAATTTAGAAATCTATTATTCCAACTTACTTTTCAAATTTTGCTAGTTTACGATTAGTTTCTCTATTTTGATGACCAGAACGATTTTAATACACTTAGGATTTCTCTACAGTCAATTCTTATGTAAGAAGAGGAGGGGCATGTTTTGTAGTCCTTCAATTCTACACATTCAATTAATGAAATTACAAGACTTTTGAGCTTTCTCTTGTTTTTTCTAAACATCTGGACTCCAGTGTCGCACCAAATTGGTGGCAGAGTAAGAACTGACTCGTAGTGATGCTAATGATGGTGGAAACTGCCTCTTGTGACGTATGACTGCAGAGGAAGTTGCACATGGCAAGCCCTCCACACTCCCTTTTCCAACAAGTGCTGTCAATATGGATTTGGCAACAAGAACGGGTTTTCTGTTATGTGGAGACCTCCCCAACTCTCCACTTAAGGGTGGGGACTTGTGCTGAAGTGCTCTAGTGTCTCCACATACCAAATTGTGGAAAATTGTCACTGGCAATCGAAAATGGACCATAATCTAAAGATATTTAACAAGAAGAAATTCCTACTATTTGTACCAAAGGAGAAAAATATTACCATGTTGGCAGGGAAGAATTTTGAGGCATTCCCCATCTTTGTAATCCTCAAGACATATTGCACATGTCTCCCCAGTGTTGCAAATCAGTTTAGCAGCATCAAATGTTATACAGGGAAGAATATCCACTACCTTATTGTCAATAACATGCCTAGTTCCTCGCTGATTCCATCTGTGGTTGTAAGTGAAGAAGATTGTGGCTAGGAGAGATACAACTACAAGAAGTGAGATAAACGATATTACCAGCACTGTCCAGGCAGTTTCATCAAGAGATGAGATGATGCAACATTCATTTTCCTCTGCATGAGCATGCTTCGTCAGGGTCTCCCCCACTTCATTTGAGACAAATACAGCAGGAATCCATATGCCATCAGGGTTTCCCACCACTATTTCATTAAGATGAAGACACTAGAGTGAGTTTGACGTAGTGAAAGATTAGCTCTCTTACCCTCCCAAAAGGACCATGTGAAGTAACAAACAACAAAGAAACCACCTCCACACAAACCCAGCATTTGTCCTATTGAACTAGCTTAGACCAGAATACCTAGCCCTCTATATCAACTTAAACCAAAAAATTCTTATTGACAGTTTTATTTTCCATTGGTACACAAAAATTATGGAAGGTAATAAAGCACAGGTATTTGGATGTAGAAACCAAAGAATGCCGTTAACCATGCTCACGATCAACGTTAAATTTTGCCTAACGATAATTATTCAAGGAAATACTCAATGGCCTGCCTCATTCAAATTAGAATCGACTACTAATTCACCGAAGTAGAGAATAGGGATATTAAAATTGTTTCGAAAAATCAAATAAAAATTTCAACATAATTGTTTCCGTAATTAGAACATATTATTTTCAAAATTCAATGCTGGCCATCATTTCCATGCCGCTAGAAATAGGTTACTACTTTCCTTTCGGAAGTTTCTACAGAACATCCAAATTTTTGTTATCTACGAGAAAGAATTTCTTGCCTAGAATCTCGTCTAATAGCTAACTAATAACAAGTAATAAAATTAAGGTTCCATTCCAACGAGGAACCCTTTCCCCTGTTCCCGCCTGTGCATATAGGATATTTCAAAAAGTGAATATCTTTCTTAGTAGCAGGGCGAGGGAAAGAATGGGAAAGGGAATTTCGCTAAATTTCTGACCAGCTAGGCACTTGCACCCCCCATGAATTATATGTTTGTAAGATTATCTCCAAAATACTCTATTTATAAAGAGAATCTTATGCATGATAGAGAGCATCTTTAAATTTAAATACTAAATTTTTTTGTGCACTCCAACAATGCTCTCTATTGCGACTCTTTATTATATTTTTCAGTGAACATTTATTAATTTCTCTTTATCTCTCATTTAATATAAGTTTCTATAGAATAATGTTATCTAATATTAGTGGTGCTAGAGCACCTGTCTAGGTGATCACACTCGATAGATGCAATTAAATGAATTTTTTGACTTTACATTTAAATAAATCATCTAAATGCCGGTGCTAAGCACCGTTGGTGCCAAATAACATTGCTCTTTTTTATATGTTAATGGCAATCAATTCAATTGTAATTTGAATAATTTATATTGTATAGTATTGAAATTTGTAACTTAATAAATGCAATCATTGTTTATCAAGAATAGAGGGTGAGTTTCACTCTTTAATTTAAAAAATTAAGTTAAAATAGAGAGTGCTTATCTTTAAGCATTGACTCACTAAAACAGAGATTATTGAACCTCTAACAGTAGGGACATGATTTTCCTCATGATCATTTCGTCCAAGAAGCTGATTTTATCTAATTCTATGAACTTCTCTAGAATACTATTTTCTTGAATATCATTCAAAAGTATTTCAGATTGCCCTGTATTCCACCAATTAGTAACCCAAGATACCATACCTCCCGTAAATGAGAGTGGGGTGGAGTTGACTAACTGGAAATGAGGTTGTGGTTATGCTGATCATCATAAACCACGGCTGCACGAAACCCGGCATCCTGAGCATTTCTGATCTTCTCCTCGAACGCGCATTTGCCTCTGACTATCAGGGCAAATCTTGCAATCTCAGAATCACCATATTCAACTTCATTAAGCAGCAAAGAACAGGCGTCGAGTGGATCAGCCAAATGCAAAGATCCACAAATTCTACTACCATTGACCCTTCTAGCTGCAAATAAAAGGTCCCAAATTAGTAAAAAAAAAAAAAAACAAATAATACTGCTAAGTAATTTAATAGAGTTCCCACACCCGGGCACAAGCAAAAAAGAGGAGGATAAAGGAGTTTTTTACGTACTAAATCTGGCAGGAGAATCCACGAACGATTGGGATGTGGATTTAAGGTGAACGGTTGAAGAACTTGGATTGATTAAATGACAAAGAAATATTAAGCAGAAAAATAAATTTATCATTTCAAATCTCTTATTCTAGCGAAATCTGATAAAGGTACTGATAGAGTTTCTCAAGGGTAATCTTCCTTTTTTTTCCTCTGTCGTTTATGGGTTGGGGAAATCGTGATTCTATGAATACCCGATTTGTTAGATTTAAAATGAAATTAACAAAAAGTACAGTGACTTGATTTATAAATTTTAAGTTAAATGTTTCGATCATAGTTATTAAACCCGACCCGATGATTGACCCGGAAAAATTATCGGATCAACGGGTCAGTGATTCAACCGGTGGGTCATTGCTTGAT